CTGGCTGGGACCCCTCCCTTGCATTGGGACCCCCTGTCTGCTGGGCTGCAGCTGGGCTTAGGCATGCCCGTCCCCCCAGGGAGGTGGCAGCTGGCTCTCAGCTCACGCTCTGCGGCCATTGCAGGTTGCGCCCAGCTGATTCGGAGCAGCGGGAGCGTGTCTGGAGCCTGCTGCGGGGCCTGCTGGAGACCTACAGCCGCCTGCGGGAGGAGGACCAGAGCTTTGCGGTGGAGGTATCGTGCCCTGGGGTGTCCCTCACCTGCATGGAGTCCTGGGATGGGCTCTGGGCCAGGGACTTCGGGGCAGCTGCCCAGAGCGGCAGTGCCTAGAGGTATAGGGCAGCTCAGGGGCTGTGTGGCTGGGTCTGGGTGGGCTCGGCAGCCATCTCTCCTGCCTGCACCCCAGGCTGTGGAGCGGCTGATCCATCCTCAACTGTGTGAGCAGTGTATCGAGTTCCTGGAGCGGCAGGTGGTGCAGTACATCAACGCCAGCCCTGAGCGCGGTGGGGAAGAGGTGGGCCATGCCTTCCTCCTGGTGCACACCAAGCTGCTGGCCTTCTACTCCAGGTACACCCAGCCCCACCACCCTCCCTGAGGCAGCCGCTCATCCTCTCAGCTGACCCCTCTCTGGCCCACAGCCGCAACGCCAGCTCCATCCGCCCCGCTGACCTGCTCATCCTCATCCTCCTGGTGCAGGACCTGTACCCCAGCCAGAGCGCCGAGGAGGAGCTCAGCCCCCAGGTGCTCCAGAGCAGGGTGTGGGGGGCAATGGGTCAGGGTGTCCCTGTGCAGTGCGGCCTTAGGAGCCAGAGCTTAATGTTTTTTTCCCTCCTTTTGGAAGCCCACAGCAGGGAAGGTGCTCCTCCAGGGACCCACGAGAAGCAGCAGCATCCCCTTGAGCGGTCCTGGCTCCCATGGAGCTGCAGAGAGGGACTCAGATGACCGGGTGAGTCTCTGCGGCTGGGAGCTGTGGGGTGGGTTGGTGGCTGCGCTGCCGGCATCGCTCCCCTTGCTGACCGAGCTGTTCTCGCCGGCAGGACACGAATGATCACTCTGTGCCTGAGGTTTACTACACCCCTGAGCCCTCACCGGGCAGGCACAGCACAGGTGAGCTCCTGGCCGGGCAGCAGCCCGGCCCCATGCCTGCCAGCCCCACAGAGGCTCTGGGGCTGCATGGGGAGCTGGCAGGGAGGGCAACGTGCCGTGCTTCCCGCAGGCAGTGAGAGCTGGTCGGAGAGCGCTGAGATGCTGAGTACCGGAGAGGCAGACACTGCTGACGTCCAGGTGAGCAAGGGGTCCTGCAGTCCCTCCCGTCCCCACACCTCCTCCACCTGTCCTGGTGCTCTTTGCAGTCTGTGGTCCTTGTGACTTGTCCCTTGCTTGCTGTGCTGCGGCTGTGGGTGCCCCAGGCTCCAGGGCTGGAGGTGTGCCCTGTGTCCCCCATGTTGTGCATAACTGTGACAGCTCTGACCACCCACTCTGAGGCATTGCTTACAGCTTCCCTGTCCAGAGCTGTCAGCACAGAAGGGCCGGGGCTGCCTCAGAGCAGTCTGGTGTCTCCCTCTGCTGCCTCTGGCCTTTCTTGGGCTGCTTCCCTGATGAATGCTGCAGAGCCTCACGCACTCCTTGCAAGCAGGTGCTAGCCCCAATGTAAGGCATTTGCAACCTGTGTCTTTGCAAGCAGCTTTACCTCTGTCTGCTGCTCTTTTGGGGTCCCTGGGCACTTCTCTCACTGCTGATCTTTTGCTGCAAGGCCCTTCCAGCTCCTTGGTTCAGTCGTGCGCGGTTACAGCTTTCAAGGCATTGCTGTGTCCCTCCGAGCATCCTGGGTTGGTGTAGGCTGCCTCATCCCTGCAGGGGGCTGAGCATCTCCCCTCTCTCCCCAGATGGCAGAGGACTTACTCCAGACCTTGGGGCCCCTGGTCCCTGAAGCTTCAAACCCCAGAAGGATCTTCCTGGACGCCAGCCTGCGGGAAGGTTACTGCCCCTTGCTGCCACACACTATGCACTGCCTCCCGCTGTGGCCAGGAATGTCCCTTGTCCTCCTGACCAAGGTGAGTTGCCTCTAAGGTAAGGGAAGTGATGCTGGGTTGGGTGCTGGCTGACCCACCTCTCCCCTCCCTGGCAGGGCCCTATGACCCAGGTGGCCGTCACCTTGTACCAGCTGCTGGATGGTTTCTTGGTGCTGGAGAGGAAGCTGGAAGAGGGGCCAGAGGTGGGAGCCCCACGCTCCTACCCATTCCTGGCCGAGCTACGGCAGCATATGGACAAGTTTGTGAAGAAGCTGAGCGGGCAGGACATCCAGGTGGGAGTGAGGATGCGAGGACCCAAGGACCCGGTCTTGTCCCGGCAGCCTGATGCTGAGCCCTGTCTCTCTCTAGTTGCAGAACGCTTGGGTTGACTTCAAGAACAAGATATTTTCCCGGAGCGAACCTGGAAGTTCCTTGGAGTGAGTACAGGGCGGCCAGGGAAAGTCTCAGGGGCAGGTGGGGACCTTTCCCAGCTCGGGGAGTAGCGTGGTTGTCCCTGTGGCACTGGGGACCTGGGGACCAAGTTCAGTGCCATCCCTGTCTCCCGGCTCAGGCTGC